AGTCTCCCTCTTTCATGTCTTTTTTTTTTCTTTTTTTGTGACGTACTGAGTTTAATTGTGAGCTTGGGTGGGGGTTGTCTACTAAAGCTTGTTCGGCCTTTTATATTTCAGTTTAATACATGTGTACTTATAAGCTTCCTGAAACTAGTCATGTGACCCCACATAACTTCGGGGGCGGCAAGAAGTGCAGGGAGATAGAGAGGTGAAAGTACTTAGTAAACAACACATCTGAGGGCTGGAGAGATGGCTCAGCAGTTAAGAGCTACTCTTACAGAAGACCTGGGTTTTAATCCCAGCACCCACATAGTGGCTATCAACCATCTGTAACTCCAGTTCCAGGGGTTCTGACTCTCCTGTCCTTCGCAGGCATTGCATGACATGGGTGTACTTGCATGTAGGCAATACACTCATACACATAAAAATAAGTTTTAAAAATTAAAAAAAAAAACACACACAATATCTGTTACAATCCAGGCTTTTTTGCTCATCAGATTTTTGGTCTACTGTCTTTTAAAAGCAAAATACACTCAATTCCTCCCTAAGGTAAGGACCTCACAGTCTTATTCAGTCACAGTATCCAGCTGAAAGTCCAGGATCTCTGAGTTATGCAAGGGTATGTTGCTTGGTGGTCTACTCGGGGAGATGGTACGCAGTACTCTACATGGGGTCTAGATGTTGATCTTCTGGATCTAGCAGCTTAAGAAAGAAATTGACACATGATCCGTTGCCCTCAAAGCAATATACCATAATGGGCAGCAACAAGATAATAGATAGTCAGCAGTCTGGAACAAACTCAGAACCTCCTCTGAGCAGCCACTGAGAGGACCCCATGAAGGGGTGGAGATGGTCTTACCTTGACCCTGATTTTCTTTCTTCAGTTGCTCACTTACCTGTTTTTCTTTGGTCCCTTGCTCTTGGGCCATCTTTTTCTCATTTGCCTATTATCATCCTTAGCCATACCAGAAATGGACAGTGAGAACTCTCACTGTCTTAGGAAAATGATACCTTTCTTACCCTGGTTTATGCAGAAGTCATGTTGGTTTGGAACCATCACAATCTGTCTTTGTATTAGTTACTTTTCTGTTGCTATGATAAAACACCATGACCAAGGAAACTTATAGAAGGAAGAGTTTGTTTAGCTTATGATAAGCTCCAAGGGGGCAAGAATCCATCTTAGTAGGAATGCATGGCGGCAGAGGTGACTGGAGTAGGAGCAGAAGCTAAGCTCTCACATCTTTAAGCAGGCACAGAAAGTAGAGAGCACCTGGAGATGGGGCCAGGCTTAAGAACTCTCTAAGCCCACCCCCAGTGACATGCCTCCTCCAGCATGGCCACACCTTGTAGGACCTCCCAAAATAGGACCACCAACTGAGGACAAAATGTCCAAATACTTGGCGCCTATGGGGGACATTCTCATTCAAACCACCACAATCTTTAAGCCCAAGCAGGTATTTCTTTTGCAGTATGATCTTCCTTGTTGCCGTTTTGTTTTAGACAGTATCTTAGTAAAGATAGGCTGATCCCAGGCTCACAGTCCTTTCTAGTAGCTGGGATTATAGGTATATACAACTATGTCTGGCTTTCATTCTTTTTACTGATTTGATTCTGATCAACTCTATCTTCCCTAGCCATATCCATAGCTCTTTTCTAACCATATTCTTTCACTTAATTTAAAATATAGATGGATTGTTACAATGCTTCCCAAAAGCTTCCCATTTTGCAAAACTGAAGCATATTTTTCTTGTTTATAAATACACAAAGTATAGCTGGATGTGGTGGCACATGCCTTTAATCCCAGCACTCCAGAGGCAGAGGCAGGCAGATCTCTGTGAGTTTGAGGACAGCCTGGTCTACATAGTGAGTTCCAGGCCAGCTGGGGCTACAGGGAGACTCTGTCTCAAAAGATCAAAATAATAATAATAAATAAATAAAAATAAATAAATAAATAAATATACAAAGTATAAATATTTCTACTTAGATGTCAAACATTCTGAAATTTCTGAAATTCAATTAAAGTGAAAATAAAATATTGTTTTTACACATTTGTTTCTTTGTTTGTGTATATGTGTGGGTGCATGTGTGCCACATGAGTGTGAAGGTCAGAGGACAACCCACCATGTGGACCCCAGGGATCAAACTCCAGTCATCAGGTTTGGTGGCACTCTTACTGAGCCATTTCACCTGCCTAAAATACTGTTTTTTAAAAAAGGAATAGCTGAAACTGGAGAGATGGCTTAGTGGTTAAGAGCACTGACTGATCAGGCCTCCACAGGCATTGCATGACACGGATGCACTTACCTACATGCAGGCATTATACCCATACACATGAAATAGAAATAAAATATTAAAAAAAAAAAAAAAGGAATAGCCAGGCTTGGTGGCACATGCCTTTAATCCCAACACTCAAGAGGCAGAGGCAGGCAGATTCTGAGTTCAAAGCCAGCCAGCCATGGCTACATAGTGAGACCCCGTCTTTAAGAAAAATAAAAGGAGGGGATGCCATTGTGATGAACCTGAGTGCAGTCCCTGGAAACCACATAAAGATGGAAGGAGAGAGCTGACCCCACAAAGTTGTCCTCTGACCTCCACATATGCTCCATGGCATCCCTGATGAGATCTCTCTCTCTCTCTCTACCAGCCACCAAGGCTAATGACCTGAGTTTGATCTCCCAGCCCCTCCTAGTGGAAGGAAGAAATCGAGTCTTACTCTCCCTCCTCTGACCTCCACATAAGCTCCATGGTACCCAATGATCTCTCTCTGTCTCTCTCTCTGTCGTCCCCCCCCACTTTTAAAAAAGGAATTCTGTGAGGGCAAAGAAAATGAGAAAGGGATTAGAAGACCATAAAAGAGAAGTGAGAAATAGGTGCAATACATAGCCATCATAATAAAACAAGTAATGATTTTAAAGATTTGTTTTTAATCATATGTGTGTTCATGGGCATGTGAGTGCAGGTGCCTATAGAGACCAGAAGAGGGTATTGCATCCCTTGGAGCTGGAGTTGGGAGCTGCAATTGTGAGTCATCAGATGTGGGTTCTGGGAATCAAACTCTGGTCTCTTTTGCAAGCTCAGTCTGTACTCTTAACCATTGAACCATCTCTCCAGCCACAGTAATGATTTTTTTTTTTTAAAGTTCTGATACAGCTGTATTGAGAGGATGAGGAGACAGTTGAGACCAACAAAGGAAACTATAGAAGAAGATGAGGTAATACTTGAAATTAGGGGAGGAAAATCAAGATATATAGACACACACACACACACACACACACACACACACACACACACACTAATATGTAGAAAACTGGAAATAAATACCAGAGGAAAAACAACCGAAAGAGCTTTGTTCCCTTGGGTAATGGGATTCAGATGGGTTGGAGTAGGGCCGAGATACTTAACAGAAAATTGTGGATGCTTTTTTAAAAAATGATTACTCTGATTTTTTTAAAAAAAAAATTGTTTTGGTCTTTTTGAGACAGGAACTCCCTGTAGCCCCAGCTAGCCTGGAACTCACTGTGTAGACCAGGCTGGCCTTGA